CCAACAAATCTTCAACAATTCTCTCTGTATTTTCTGTTATCCTCCACCCCCGTTCTAGTACTCCAATGACTCATAGGTTATTCCTCTTGATAGAGTCCCACATAATTCTTAGGATTTCTTCATTGTTTAAAAATCCTTTTATCTGATTTTTCCTCAAATAAGTTGGTGTCAAGTGCTTTGTCTTCATTTTCACTAATTCTGACTTCCATTGCCTCAATTCTGCTTCTATGACTTTCTATTGAATTGTCTAATTCTGAAATTTTATTGTTAATCTTCTGGATTTCTGATTGCTGTCTCTCTACGGATTCTTGCAGCCTGTTAAATTTGTCATTATGCTCTTCTCTAATCTTCTTAAGTTCCTCTATTGCATGGTCTGTGTTTTGCCTCATTTCCTTCCTGATATCTTGAAGAGTTTTGTATATTAATCTTTTGTATTCTGCCTCTGGTAATTCCAAGAAATTCTCTTCCTCTGGAAAATTTCTTGATTCTTTATTTTGGGAGCTTGCTGAAGCCATCATGGTATGCCTCTTTATATGATTTAATATCGACTGTTGTCTCTGAGCCATCAATAAGTTATTATATTTATTTATTTTATGTTTGCTTACTGTGTCCTAGCTTCTTGTTTTGTTTTATTTTGATATGCCCAAATGGGCTGCTCATGTGAGCTAGCCTGATCACCGGCACCCCTGAAGCTCCAATGTCCTGTCACCAGGTGGCCAGACCTGCTGCTAAATATGTGAGCCCAGGAGTCCACCCACTCCTCCTGTATGGATTAAGCTCAAGTGTCCAGGTAGTCGGCCACCAAATGTGTGGTGCAAGCTCTCACCTACAGTCCTATACAGGCATGCGTGATTGGTGTAGGCACAGGCATCCGGCTACAGCAGGGGGTCACACACTGAGTAAGGCAGGGGACCGACAGCCGCCCCCGAGTGTCTGGGAGGAAAGCATGTCCCTGTTCCCTAGAGCGTGTAGATGGTGGGTTTTGCAGCCAGACTATGAGCACCCAATGCTGTTGGCTGTAAGGACTGGGGGGCACCTCTTATTCTTGGGCCCCTGATGCAGGTGGCTAGGTGGCATGGGTGGAGCCATCAGTTCCCAGGCCCCTGATGTGGGTAGGTGAAGATCCTGCTTAATGGGCAGAGCAGTGTCAAATGTCAGGAACCTGCCACTTCATAGCTGAAACAGTTGAAGTTAAACTTCAAGTATATACCCTGTTGTACTGTGGTGATGAGGGCCTGTGCTGTTGAAATGGGCCCACACAAGTCTATGCAGGGGGAAAGGCACTCAAAGTCCCTGGTCCCCTTATGCCTGTGCCTAGGCAAAAGAGCTGTGCCTACCCTGAGTTCCTGGCTTAGGGGAGCCGGCAGATTATTTTCCCCTGTTTGTTAATTTGTTCCCTCTCCAAGGCCGAGAGAATGGCTCAGGGAGCGTGAGGGGTCCTACTTCCAGCCCAGGGGACTCGGCAATTGCTGAAGCCATCCCAGACCCAGTGCAGAGCAGGGAGTAGGGAGGTAAATAGGAGAGAGGTTTTTCCCAAAGGAGGGTGTTCTTGATCTGCGTGGTAGGCCAGACGCAAGTACTTATCTTTTGCTGATTAAGGGCTGCTTCTCACTGGTTCTGGATGGCTGAGTAGACTGTCTGCTGCTGGGTCTCTCCTGATGTGGAAAATGCCTCCTGAGCGCCGCTGCTTACCTCACCATGCATCAGGAGCTGATCCGGCCTGAAGGGCTCTGGCTTCTGCTGGGTCAGGTCTGGCAGCTCCTCGCTGCTTTTGAGCCATTTCTCCCTCCCCCTCAGTCTGAGTCCTCAACTTTTCCTTTGATGTTCAGGGCTCCTAGATTGTTATACATAATCAATTCCCTTGTTTTTTTGGGTCTTTGTTGTAAGAGGGACCATGGGAAGTGTCTGATTACTCTACCATCTTGGCCCCACCTCCTCCATTGCTTGGTTTCTTGACTGCTGCTTCCATGGGCGTTGATTGTGGATCCAAGGCATGAGTAATAACGTTAAGCTAAAGCAAGAGACTTCTCAGCCAGGTAGCCCTCAGCCTGGCTTTTCAGAGAATGCTGTAGTTTTTGGGTCATGCTGGGGAGTGAGTGAGAGGAAAGTGAGAAGCCCTAAAATGCTCCTGCCTCCTTTTTACTCCCAGGCCCCTTGCCTGTATGGCTAAAAGCTAGGAGTAGGAAGGAGGAAATAATATTGTGCTGGGTCTGGGCCAGCCTTTGCGGTAATCCAGCAAGCTTGGGACAACCCAAGATGGATAAATAACCTCTTTGAACTAGGAAGGAATGGGGTTAGTGAGTCTCAGACTGAATCAAATATTGAGTGAACCTAGTCCTTAAGGAGTACTTTGCCTAGTAGAGAAAGATATTGTTGTTGTCCGCTGCCATTGAGTTGGCCCCCAACTCATGGCAACCCCACGCACAACCAAACAAAACACCACTTGGTCCTGTGGATCAGACGGTTGTGATCCATAGGGTTTTCATTGGCTGATTTCTGGAAGTAGAAGCAAGTAATTCCAATTCAGTGTTGTAAGTGCTGTAGTAGAGAGATGAAAGCAGAATCCTGGACTTGCACAGAGGAAGAATGGGACTAATGGCCTGAAAAAATTCAAGAGAACTTTCCAGAAGATCTCTCACCTGGACTGAGAGTTGAATAGAAGTTTATAGGGTAGGGAAAGTAGTGAGGAAAGGCAGTCACAGCAGAAGGAACAGCCTGTGCAAAGTCATAGAGGAATGAAGAGCATGGCATGGTCAGGGACTAGGAAGAAGTTCATTGGGTCAGGCATATGGGATGCATGGCTGGGGAGAAGAGGGTAGAACAGAGGGCATGAACCAAAGGAGAGGAAAGGAGAGTGTGGTGAAAGGGCACCTCGGTTAATTATGCTGCCCAATCTGCCTTCTCTCTCTCCTTCCATTATGTATGGGCTTCTTGAGGGCAGGATCTAAGTCTTTTACTTCACTGTAACCAGGCCTATACCCCCCTGGCTCTGGACATGGAAGGCCCACAAATGGTGATGGATTCCCAGCCTGTAAGCAAGATCCCAGGAGGGCAGTTGGGCCAGAGTGTTCTAAAGCCAGGGAGGAAGAGGCGTGATGGGGCCAGTTTTCTGAAGACAGCAGAAAACTTCAGGTTGATCAGGAGCCTCATGCTGAGGAAAGGGAGTCAGTATCATAGAATCGTAACATTTGAGAGCTGGAAAGGGCCCTGTTGTTGTTGTGAGTTGCCATCGAGTCAGCCTCTGACTCATGGCGACCCCATGCACGATGTAATGAAACACTAGCCAGGAATTGGACTATTGGGATCCATAGGGTTTTCGTTGGCTGATTTTCAGAAGTAGATCACTAGACCTTTTTGTCTAGTCCGTTTTAGTCTCGAAGCTCCAATGCAACCTGTTCAGCATCATAGCAACATGCAAGCCTCCACTGACAAATGAGTGGTTGCTGCATTTGAGGTGCATTGGCTGGGAATCGAACCTGGCTCTCTCATATGAAATGTGGGAATTCTACCACTGTTCCACCAGTATCCCCAGAAAGGATCTTAGGGTCACCTAATCCAAATCTCTTACTTTATATTTGAGGCTCAGAAAGACAAAGAGATTTCATCTTCATTTCTAGTTTGGAAACTGGCTTACTGGGTAGTCTAGTGCCCTGGTCTTTTCAGCACTCTAGTCTCATTCAAAAAAAAATTTTTTAAATTTTATTTTGGTAAATATATATAGCATACAATTTTCTATTTTAACCATATTTAAGTGTACAATCCAGTGACATTAATTGCATTCACCATATTATGTAACCATCACCACTATCTATTTCTAAAAGTTTTTCATCACCCCAAAGAGAAACTCAGTACCCCTTAAGCAATAACCCCCCATTCCACCCTCCCCACAGCCCCTGATAACCAGTAATAAACTTTGTCTCTATGCATTTGCCTATTGTAGGTATTTCACATAAGTGGGATCATACAGTATTTCTCCTTTTGTGTCTGATCTAGACTCCTTATTTTTAAAACTAGGGTAATTTTCACCATGCAGGGCATTAGCAGGTAGAAAGAACAGGTATCTGTGCCTTGAAATTCTCAGTTAAGAATGGGCTTCTCAGATAAAAGCCATTATTCACCACATAGCATGTGGCATCTCCCTTGCCATCAGCCCCACTTAGCAGATAGGAGTGGTTGGTCTTTTCCACTCATGTTTCCCAAGAAGGTTCTATCCTATTTGTGATTTCTAGGAGGCTGGTTGAATGAACAAGATGGGAGTGGGAAATGAGAAGTTTTTGAAAGTGGAATCTTTTTGTTTGACAGTTTACAGGAAATTGGACAATGGCTTGTTTTAGGAAGATGGCTATCATCAATGTCAATGTCACTGCCTTACCAATGATACCAGTGGAGGAGAACCTGGCTGTCTCTCACGCTGTGCAGGACACAGTGAAGAATGCTGTGAGGAAGGATTTAGAGAACAATCCACCCTGTATCCTTCCTGTGGTGCCACCTGCAATCGAGACCAGTACACCTAACTCAAGTTATGTCATAAGGTGTAATCAGTGCTCAAGCCTGTACTTTTTTTTTTTTTCCAGTTGCCATTGAGTTGATTCCAACTCATGGTGACCTCCAGTGTGTCAGAGTAGAACTGTGCTCCATAGGGTTTTCAGTGGCTGATTTTGGGAAGTAGATCACCAGGCTCCAAGGTGCCTCTAGGTGGACTTGTATCTCCAGCCTTTCAGCTAGAAGCTGAGTGCGTTAACCATTTGCACCACCCAGGGATCCCATTAATTACTAACCAATTCTTTATATGTTCCTTACTGCGTTTTTATCTTATTTAAGCCCTAACTATCCTCTAAAAATATTTGAAAGACTGCAAAGGATTATTTGACTTGAGTTTGTTTTACTAAGATAATCAGAAAGAGCCCAAAAGGAAGCTGTCTTGGGACTATTTGTTGAAAGAATGAGAAGAAGGAAAAAAGCTCTTTCTTTCATTGTCTCCTCCTTTCCCTTCTATCTTCCAAAGAATTATATAGATAGCAACTAAGAAGGCACAGTTCAGCCCTCTGCTTTCAGACAAGTGAGCTTAAGACCCAACTTTTTTTAGTTTGTTTGATTGAAGTTGACCTCGTCTCTTTTCACCTGCCAGCCCCTCTGCCTGGACCAATAGTTTGCCCCTTCCAGCATTATCCAGGCTCTAGCAGCATCTTCCTGCCCTGCCTCCATTGATCCTCATCTCATTTCTTACTCTGAATTATATCCCAAGGACCTACAGAATCCATCTCTGGAGGACCTTGAAACCCATCCAGCAAATACTGCTCTCGGGTTATAAATGACCCCAGGTCTTTCCGTCTCACATAGAGCCCATTTACCTGAAAGTCACGCTGCTGCCAGCCAACCTGAAGGTATCACTGCACATCCCCTCACCTCCCCCCGCCTCTCAGGAACTCTTCTCAAGAGGAGGCAAGGTGTCATCCCACCAGGGTCAGCTTCAGATCTCACTTTGCTGGGCCTTTTTCTAATGTCTTCTCTTTCTTCTTAATCCCACATTCATCTCAAACTCGCTGATCCATTTCACTTTCTATGATTGCTTGTGTTCCTTCTTGTTATCTTCATTTTTCAAGTATCCTCTGATTCATAAGAACACTTGAAGGTAATGGAAGTAAGGGTGAACCTTGCTTCATGTGAAGGGAGTGAGAAGTGATAGGATTACGGGCTTTTGCAAAGGATTTGCCCAGACCAGATGAGGCTAAGGTAGAAAGCGATGTAAAAGTAGAGAGGGGCTGTAGAACTGAGTGGCGATTTCAACAGTGACAGACAAGGTCAAGATACTCTTTGACCCAATAATCCGTCACCTGAAAATCTTTCTTAAAGAAATAATACAAAATATGGCAACAGCTCTCTGCATGACAATGTCCATCACAGCATTATTTATAATTGCAAAAAATTGTAAACAACTTACATATTCAGTAGTCAAGGGACCGCTAAGTGCATCAGGGTGCATTCTCTTAATGGATTATTTCAATGTCATCTAAATAAATGGATTAATTATAATGCCATTTTCACTATGAAGATTATCTAGCCACATGGAAAATGCCCATAATAATGAGTAGATGAGAAGTCAGAATATTAAAATAGGCATACACTGAGATTATAATTATATAAAAAAAGTGTATATATTTTTAAAAAAACACTGGAAGGAAATATCCCCAAATCCTGAAAGTAGTCATAGTATTATGCATGATTCTTTTTTTTCGTTTTACAGTGAAACCTGTGAGAGCTGGAGCTTGACGGGACTGCCTGGTTTTTCTGGGTCTCACAAGTTTTCCACCTTTGACGGGGTGCAGTCTGACCACTTTTCTGTTTCTATTAGTAGAAAATACTTGAGTTTTCCTTCTCTGACAGGTTTCTACCTTATATAGGTTCCGGCTTTTGCAGGTTTTACTGTGTATTTTCCAAAGTGTCTGTGTTGTTGTTAGATGCTGTCGAGACAATTTCAACTCATAATGACCCCATGTGACAGAGTAGAATTGCCCCATAGGGTTTTCTTGGCTGTAATCTTTATGGGAGCAGATCGCCAAGCCTTTCTTCTGGGGAGCTGCTGGGTAGGTTCCAACTACCAGCCTTTCGATTAGCAGCTGAGCACTTAACCATTGCACCACTAGGGAAAATGCCTATAATATGGCTAAATTTAATTTATAGTTTATAAAGCAACTCCTTTAAAACAAGATAAAAGAAATGTGAGTGTTTGCAAAGAAATAATTGAGTAGAGAGACAGTGCAGAAAGGGAACGGGCCCCCTTCCTGGGCAGGCAAGTCCCCTCCCTGTTCTGTATAATCACCATCCAGAGAGTTTCCTTAGCTGACCTACCTCCCAGCATGCATTATTGGCTCCATGGATCAGGTGAACCAAAGGATTGCTGAAGTATATCTGAGTCCCAACCTGCTGGCCGGCAGCCTAGTGAGTTATGGGAGCTGGGGCTGAGGCAAGGCTTCCTGGAAGGAAGAGGGGAAGCCTATCGGTCTAACTGAGCGAAATCTCATCCCCGCCACCCTTGGGATCATCAAGGCATTGCAGTGCCTTGGGGACCTTCCATTTATTTAAAAGCATGTTTGCACAATTGACATCTCAAAGTTAACTTTGATTCACTTCTATAAAAAATATAAAACAAAACAAACACAACCCTCCGATAATTAATACACATCTACACCACTCATTTGTTGGGAGACAGGAGTTACAGAGGTTAAACCAGTAGTGGTTGTGTAGCACAACTCCCATACGGTAGAAGAACCCTGGCGTGGATCCTGTGTATCTTTTTGGCTCCCTTGGCTTTTGGCAACAGCATGTATTTGATTTTTAATTTTAATTGCACTTAAGATATCTGAGGCATAAGTCTAAAAATCTCCAAGATATATTTGAAAACAAGAACAACAAAGCAATGCCAGCCAACCCACAAGTCATTACTAAGGCTCACTGGTATCATGATCTATTGTTCAGAGGGTCAGTCCCATAGACTGCTCCGATTGGAAAGGACTTTAAAACTCATCCAATTTGCCTACCTCACTCCTGTAGTAGACTGCCACACATGGCAGCTGTGAGGATGAGGATTTTATAATGATGAAGACCACAGACAAGTTCATTCTCTAACCTGCAGGTTTTTCATCTATTCCCGCGGTCCCTCACTGGCAGTCTGTGGGCCAATTCTGGGCTTCCTATGTGTTTGTTTTGTTCTGCACCCGTTGGCCCACGCAGCCTTTGGGCTGGGGTCTGCATTTCCCCGGGGCAGTCATCAGTCGGAGCAGAAGAGCAGTGCCTCTCTTTATCAGAGCACAAGCTCTGCAGTTTGCCACAGTCTCCACCACTCCCTATTGCTTCCTAGTACAGAGGTAAAGTGTTGGTTGCCATTTATCATCTTAACATCTGGCCAGCTTCACTCATTTTTGTTACCGGACATAATGAGAGGGACTCAGACTAGATGAAAACAGCCTTTTGTGCACCAACAAGAGAAATGGCCTAGTCCCTGACCCCCACCCCTCCTCCAAGATTTGCAGTAATCCCTAATGCCCCTTTTTTTTTTTTTTTTTTTTTTTTGGTTTTTGAAGGCAATTGAGAGATTTGAAATGGAGAAGAAAGCTTTAAGAGAGAAAAGTCGTGGCATCTCGGGAGACAGAGGCAAAAAACCCTTTCTCATAGCCTGATGGTGTTTTTATGGGGTTTGGATTTTTTTTTAGATTCTAAAATGCAATTGAGTAGAAATCAAAAAAAAAAAGGGGGGGATATTTTTGTCCTCTTCTAAAGGAATCTTAAATCTGACTTCTTGACATTGGAAAAGGGAGACTTCTTGAGAGAGGAAGGAGGGAAGGACAGTAACAGTATAGACCACCTACTGTGTGCCCACGTTGTACTAGGTGCCTTCACACACATTGCCTCATTAAATCTTCCTAATGTCCCTGGCAATAGGTATCATTGAATATATTTTATAGGTGAGGAAAAATGTATTGGGGGTGGGGTAGAGTAACTTGCCTAAGGCCACACAGCTTCTCTGGGGCAAGTCCTGGCTTCGAACCCAGGTCTAACTCCAAAGCCCACGTTGTGTCAGCTCGTTCTTACTGCTTCTCTGGATCAAGCAGTATAACCAGTAAAGAATGGAATCTTAATAAGTCAGTAACATAGTTGGGATCTAGTGAGACGAGTAGTATGGGTGTCCTTTGGCAGCTCAGGCCTAATGAAGAATTTTTAGTTATAATTAGCACACAGCAGTGAGCAGACCCTGTGGTTACTCACATCTTATTTCTCTTTCTCCATTCTTCTGCAGACAAGGTCGTCAAGAGTCAAATAAAGCCCTGCAGAGGTTCAGAAAGCAAGAATGCCAAATCTTTCATTTTAAAGAGAGTAAGAGATCTATTCCTGCATCTGTTTCTGACTGGTTTCTGCTGGGCATGAAATAAATTTTATTCCTTGGGATGGGATACTTGGCTGGAGATTGTGCGGGGGAATCACAGAGTTCCCTTTTTAAAGGATCTGTAAGCACTTTAATTTAAACTCCAGAATTTCTCACCACATCCTCGAAAAGGGTATTGCTGACCTCAGCCTCAGAATGGGGTGTGTTTCAGCGGTCATTTGTTGATTTTTAGAACTCAGAAGGTGTTTCCCCTTAGAAGCAATGAGTTCAGAAGCAGCTCACACAGAGCCACAGTGCTGCCCAGCCCCAGGGCCAGGTTCACTCAGTACTTTCCTAAGCAGCTGCTCCCAGTGCTAGTGACATCAATCACTGCAGATGGCCCAGGAAGCTCAGAGTCAGAGGTAGTTAGATGATTTGTCCAGTGTCATACAGCTTGTTTTTGGCAGAGCCTGGCTTCCCACGCAGGTCCTCAGCCTCCACAGCCAGGCTCTCTCCTGCAGCAGGCTGGCCCCACCTCTGAGCCACGCAGTTATGATTTTCCTAAGCTTGCTTTCAGTTTTAAAGGGAAAATAAACACGTCACCAGGTCATATGTACTCAGACCTTTAAATACTAGAGAATATGAAACAATATACTATTGTTTTTCTTTTTTCACCTTTTAGTCTAGGAGATTCCAAAACTACATAAAATCTAATGGTTGAGAGTCTGCCTTGAAACTACCATATTCATGCACTGATGGTGGCCGAGGACATTTAAATGTCCTGCCCAAGGTGGCACAGCTAGTAAGTGGTAGAGGTGACATCTGAATCTAGTTATCTGACTCCGAGTCCGTGCAATTAATCACTGGAAATTATTCTTCCGTTGTCAACTGCCATAACCCAGCTGGAAAGTAATTCAGTACATCAGAGTGTTTCCTGTGGGCACCTTTGGGTGATGGTAACTGGTTTCCTCTTTCTACTTTTCTGTATTTTTACGTTTTTATAGTCATCTTTAAAAAAATGATTTTTTTAAATAAATTCATTTTTTTTGTGGTTGAAAATATACATAGCAAAACCAATTCAGCAGTTTCTTCACGTACAATTCAGTGACATTGATTTATATTTTTCAAGTTGTACAACCGTTCTCACCCTCCTTTTCCAAATTATTCTTCCACCGTTAACATAAACTCACTGCCCCCTAAGCTTCCTATCTAACCTTTCAAGTTGCTGTTGTCAGTTTGATTCCATATAGATAGTTCTTTAAAAGAGCACAATGCTCAAGGCAGAAATTCTTGACTAATTAAGCTAAACTATTGTTTGGTGTAAAGAAGTATAGTCATATTTTTTATTCTTAAATCAATTTAATGACATACATCAAGAACCATAAAGATGATCATAGCGTTTGATCCAGTAATACCATTTTGAGAAATTTATACTAAATAAATAATCCAAAAGGAGGAAAAATTATATGCTCGAAGTTATTAATGACAGTAATATCAGTTGGAAGAAACTAAAATTGCTTTTTCAGTAAAAAAAAAACCCATTGCCATCAAGACCATTGCGACTCATAGTGACCCAACAGGACAGAGTAGAACTGCCCCATAGGGTTTCCAAGGTGTGGCTGGTGGATTCGAACTGCTGACCTTTTGTTTGGCAGCCATAGCTCTTAACCACTGCACCACCATCAGTAAGCAAGTAGTTAATTAAATTATAGCACATCTTTTTTTTTTTTAAATTGTGCTTTAAGTGAAAGTTTACAGCTCAAGTTACTTTCTCATACAAAAATTTATACACACATTGTTACATGACCCTAGTTCCTCTCCCTATAATGTGACAGCACACTCTTCCTTTCCACCCCTGATTTCCTGTGTCTATTCAACCAGCTCCTATCCCTTTCTGCCTTCTCATCTCACCTCCAGACAGGAGCTGCCCATTTAGTCTCATATATCTACTTGAACTAAGAAGCACACTATTCATGCATATCATTTTATGTCTTATAGTCCAGTCTAATCTTTGTCTGAAGAGTTGGCTTCAGGAATCGTTTTAGTTCTGGGTTAACAGAGAGTCCGGGGGCCATGTCTTCCAGGGTTCCTCCAGTCTCGGACCATTAAGTCTGGTCTTTTTTACTAGAATTTGAGTTCTGCACCCCACTTTTCTCCTGCTCCGTCAGGGACTCTCTGTTGTTTTCCCTGTCAGGGTGGTCATTGGTGGTAGCCGGGCACCATCTAGTTCTTCTGTTCTCAGGCTGATGGACTCTCCGGTTTATGTGACCGTTTCTGTCTCTTGGGCTAATATTTCCCTTGTGTCTTTGGTGTTCTTCATTCTCCTTTGCTCCAGGTGGGTTGGGACCAATCAGTGCGTCTTAGATGGCCACTTGTTAGCTTTTAAGACCCCAGACGCCACTCATCAAAGTGGGATGCAGAACATTTTCTTAATAAACTTGGTTATGCCAGTTGACCTAGATGTCCCCTGAAACCATGATCCCCAGACCTCCACCTCTGCTACTCTGTCCCTCGAAGTGTTTGGTTGTATTCAGGAAACTTCTTAGCTTTTGATTTAGTTCCGTGGTGCCGACTTCCCTGTAGCGTGTGTTGTCCTTCCCTTCACCTAAGATAATTCTTGTCTACTATCTAGTTAGTGAATACCCCTGTCCCTCCCCACCCTCGTAACCATCAAAGAATGTTTTCTTCTGTGTTCAGACCTTTTCTTGAGTTCTTTTAGTAGTGGTCTCATACAATATTTGTCCTTTTGCGACTGACTAATTTCATTTGGCATAATACCTTCCAGATTTATCCATGTTTGAGATGTTTCGAGGATTCATCATTGTTCTTTATCGTTGTGTAGTATTCCATTGAAATTATAGCACATCTTAACAGAATGTTATATTATTTTCAATGATAATTTTGAAGGCAATGTAGCTATATGAAACATCTAAACTTAAGTGGATAAAGCAGGACATGAAAGTACATGTATATTAAGAGTGAATTACATCTATAGATTTGTATATATTTGTTCAAAGACTGAAAGGGAAAATACAGTAAAACGTGTGAAAACTGGAACCTGTGTAAGGCAGAAATATGTCAGAGAAGGAAAACTAAAATATTTTCCACTATTAGAAAGTGCTAGAAAAGTGGTAAGACTGTACTCTGTCAAAGATGGAAAACTTGTAAGACTCAGAAAAACAAGGCAGTCCGGTCAAGTTCCAGCTCTCACAGGTTTCACCATACAAGTAGGTAATGGAAACAGGTGTTTAGTTAAGTGTGCTGGGACCATGATCGTTCCCTCATGTTCTAAATGTTCTGTTGTTGTTAGGTTCTGTTGAGTCGATTCTGACTCATAGCAACCCCATGTGACAGAGTAGAGCTGCGCAGTGGTTAAGAGCTATGGCTGCTAACCAAAAGATCAGCAGTTGGAATCCACCAGCCCCTCCTTGGAAACCCTATGGGACAGTTCTACTCTGTCCTATAGAGTCGCTAGGAGTCAGAATCGACTCAACGGCAATGGGTTTGGTTTGGTTTAACCTTCTACAGGAGCAGATCATCAGGTCTTTCTCCTGTGGAGCTGCTGGGTGAGTTTGAACCAGCAACCTTGTAAGATTGTTAAATAGTCTTCATAATAAAAAGGGGAAGATATCTTATTATTTCAAGCTGTCAAAATGATGGAGCCCATTTTCAGATTCTTCCTTCTTTGCTTCCCTTAGAAAACAGCAGATAAAAATCTGCTAGTGGAGCTGTACCAGTATCCTGAATTTAACAGCTCTAGGCCAAACGAGCTTCCGAATGGGGTGAAATTCTCTGACATGGTGAGCCACGTGATCCGGGCTGAGAAGAACCCCCTCACTGGCAAGGTAAGGAAAGAGGAGAGACAGCTGACCTCTGTGAAGCACCAGTTGTGGGCTGGGCTCTAATCCAGCTTTACAGCAACCTGGGGCAGATACCATGGTCACCATTTTATACCCGAGGAAACTGAGATTCAGAGCAATTGAATCAAACTTGCCTGTGGCCACACAGCTTGCAAAGGACTGAGTTGAGATTAGAACCCAAGCCTGAGTTCACTCCAAAATTCATATGCTTTCTACCAGAGCAATGGTCTTTAGGCTGTTTTGATTGAGTATCCTATTGTTGTTGTCATTGTTAGGTGCCGTCGAGTCGGCTCCAACTCATTGTGACCTTATGTACAACAGAAAGAAACGTTGCCCCGTCCTGCACCATCCTCACAATCATTGCTGTGTTTGAGCCCATTGTTGCAGCCACCGCATCAATTCATTTCGTTGAGAGTCTCCCTCTTTTTCGCTGACCTTCTGCTTTTCCAGGCACTTCCGATTATTAATGTATATTTACAGCTGCTGCTTCTCATTTTGAGTCATGCCATATCAGCAAATGAAGGCCCAGAAGGCTTCACTCCATCCACATCATTAAAGTGTACTGTACTTTGAGAAGACAGCTCTTCTTCAGTTGTATTTTGGTTGCCTTTCAACCTGAGGGGCTCGTCTTCCAGAACTGTATCAGGCACTATTCTGTTGTGATCCATAAGGTTTTCATTGGCTAATTTTAAGAAGCAGATTACCAGGCCTTTTTCCTAGTCTGTCTTAGTGTGGAATCTCCACTGAAACCTGTCCACCGTGGGTGACCCTACCGGTATTTGAGATACCAGTATCATAGCTTCCAGCATCATAGCAACATGCAAGCCACCACAGGAATCAGTGTGAATAAATAATAAATAACTAGCACAGTTTATCTAGTGTTTGCTACATGCCTGACCCTGTTCTAAGCACTTTGCAGGTATCACTCATGTAATCACCACAGCAGTCCCTGAGGAAGGGACTATTTTCAACATTTCCATTTTCTAGATGAGGAAACTGAGCAAAGAGGGGTTCATTAACTTTGCTCAAGGTCACACAGCTAAAAGTGAAAGAGCTGGATTTGAATCCAGGCAGCCTGGTACCAAAGTCTGTGCTCTTAACCACGCCACGGTACTGCCTCTCCAAAGCAGCTGGAGGAAAGATGACGATGACAAAGCTGCTTGCTAGTGAGGGCGACATGCTTATTCATGCAGGATGCCCATCAGCTGTCCTAGGCCCCAAGGGAACGCCAAGGAGTCTTTCCCTTTGCATCCAGGAGGGTGGTGAGAGTGAGATCTCTTTGTCTTCCTAGTGGTAAGAGAATAGGCAGCCTGTGCGGTGTCTCTGGAACCAAGCTACCTGCATTTGAACCTCCTAGCCCAGTAGCAAATTCATGGTAATCACTCAATGAATGTAACATATTATTACCCTGGTAGTTTTAGAGTGTTAAAGGCTTAAGACTCCAAATCAGTCTTAGAAGAATTAAAACCAGAATGCTCCTTAGAAGCGAGGATGGTGAGACTTCGGCTTGCCTACTTTGGACGTGTCATCAGGAAAGTCCAATCACTAGAAAAGGACATCGTAGTTGTTAAATGACATGTGTTTGTTGATGTGAGTTGAACAGTAGGAGGTGAGAGCTAGCGGTAGCTGGCATGGAGCAGCTGTATAGAATTATGGCTTCTGATCCTGGCCCTGCCACTTGATGGCTGTATTACTTCGAGAAAGTTACTTCATCTCTTTGGTCCTCAGTTTTCTCGTCTGTGAAATGGAGATAATACATGCCTCACGCAAGTACTGTGGGGGTTAAATAAGATTATGTAAAAGCTTAGGCTTTGTGTGTGCGTGTGTGTGTGTTTGAAGTGGATTCCACAGTATATTGACCCCAAAGATAGCTAGCAGGAAGATGGTACAAGTAACCAAGCCACAGGACACAGAAAGACAGGTTTTGAGTGCAGATGATTATAAGTCTGGCTGGGGCTCCAGGTGAATTTCAAAAAATGAACAATAACAACAACAACAATATGAATTTTGTTTCTTTTCAAGTCTTTCTGTACAGGTAAAGAATTGGAGAAGTTTCTGTCTTCTCCTTCCCCACGAGCCATGTTGCTGGATAGCTTCTGGTGGATCTTTCATGAAAGGTACCAGGTAAATGCAAATCTGATTTTCCTCTCCATTGCTTAAGCTACGTTTCTACAGAACAAATTCCATCATCCATAACGTGGGCTATAAGCTCCTCTGATCCCGTGGACCACCCCTGCAACCTCATCTCTTACCCCACCCCCTCCCCACCCTTGCCTCACCCATGCACCCTGTGCTTCAGCCATTCTACAGTGTCTTGCAGCTCCTCTAATGCCCTGTTCTCTCCTGGCCTGGACACACTGTCCCCTTGGCCTGGAACACCCTTTCATCTCCATCCTATCCCTGTTCACCTTTAGAACTCAGGCCAGATGTCAGGCCTCCTCACTCCCCACTGGGTCATGGGCAGCCTTCCCTGGCCACCACCCTAGCTAGTCCCTGGCCCCTCTAATGTGTTCTCACAGCTGCGCCCTTCCTAGGTAAAGACCATGACACTCTGCGCCTGCTGCTGTAATGGTTGTCCTAATTGCCCCTGTCTCCAACTTGACCGTGAGCTCTTCGAGGCCAAGAGACCATTTCTTGTTCATTTTGTATTTCTATCCCTGGTCCCTACCTCAGGTTCTTTTGTGAAAACCGCCATAAGGTGCTCATTGACCCATCCTGTAAGGAAGGTCAGGGTGATGGCATGCAGGATGGAGTTAAGCTGGACCTGTTCTGCAGTACTGTGCAGTGCTTTCCTCACTCCCAGCTCTCTCTCATCAGCTTCCTCACTGTAACCCAACCTTTCTTCTCCACATTGGAGAATTTTCTTCCTTGCCCAGGAACCACTGACCTTCATATTTAGATCTTCTAGAATTAAGCTGTCTTGTTTTCATTTTACTCATGCGTGACAAGAGTGGGGTTGTAATATCATACTTTCCCAGCAAATGTCCACCAAATCTGAGTTTTGCAAGAGATTTTAGAGATCTGTTATTTTCCAGCTGTCTACTCAAGGACCGATGGATATATTTCTTTACTACTTCCCTCCTGCCCCCTTTTTAAACTTCCTTTCCTAGCACAGATATTTATTACATACTCAAAGGCATCTGTAATCAAGACACACAAAGTGTTTGCTCTCATAGAGCTAACGAGTAAAGAAGATGATTTCAAGTAGTGGAAAGAGCTTGGAACTAAGACCAGTTAGTGTGATAGTGAGTGAGTGGGCGGCCTCTTTGAGACCTGAACAGGAGAAGCTTCCAGCCATGTGAAAATCTTTGGGGAGAGCATTCTAAGTAAGGGGAACAACAAGAGCAAAGGCCCTGAAGAGCGAAGGAGCTTAGCATTTTCAAGGAGCATTTCAAGGAACTCCTTAGGATCTGGCAGGGTAGGTAAAGAGTAGAAGGTGAGGCAGACAGGTGGGCAGATGCTGGCCAGGGTGGGGAGTTTGGGTTTTATTTCAAGTATGTGTGCTAAGTAAGGGGCAAATCCCATCCTCATTGCCAGTTACACAGTAAGGAACAGCGTGAATCCAGTCCCCAAAACGTGGATTAGATCGATCGAGTCTTCACATTCCCACTCTTCCATCCTCACCATCAGCTGCCCCAGTGGCACTGTCTCTGACTAGCCTCCCAGTGCTAGGTCAGAGCTCACAAGTTGAAAGACATCATCCTTCAGACTGCCAAATAGGCAGATGCCAGCTATAAGTTTGGGGAGTCCATATGACACCCCAACCTTCTGACTTGCTGTCCACAGTTTTGGGGCTGGTTCCTCACTACCTCTTCAGGATACCAGCCACAAGCTCAGGAGTTTACACGACACCCTTACTTTCTGACATGCTGGCTCCCACTGCCCCTTTGGGTTCAATAATTCACTGGAACAACTCAGAGAATTCACAGAGAGTGTATCCTACTTAAGGAGCCCTGGTGGCGCATTGGTTAAAGCACTCAGCTGCCAACCGAAAGATCAGCAGTCCGAACTCACCAGCGACTCCATGGGGGAAAGATGTGGCAGTCTGCTTCTGTAAAGATTACAACCTTGGAAACCCTATGGGGCAGTCCTACTCTGTACTGTAGGATCACTATGAGTTGGAATTGACTCAACGGCAACGGGATATCATACTTACGACTACAGATTTATTATAGCCAAAAGGGATACCAATGAAGAGATGCATAGAGTGAGGTCTGGGTGGGTTCCCAACATGAAACTTCCATGTTCCCTGAGACACGTGACCTTCTTGAGAACAGATATTCTTGCCAACCAGGAGGGTCTCCTCAACAAGGAGGTTCTCAACCAGGAAGTTCATCTGAGCCTTAGGATTCAGGGCTCTTGTTGGCCTCACATGGCTGTGATAGGTTACATCATGCCTCCTGAGGCTAGTCAACCGTCAGCCCCCAGGTGGTCCCTCTTGGTCTGGTCCACCCCCCCCACTCATTAGCCTCAGGTGTGATCCGGCTCTCAGGATTCCAGAACTAAGGTCAAATTGCTTTCTGCACCTCACAGTATGAGAAACTATTGGAGGGTTTTCCAACTAATCTGATTAACATTTTAAGAAGATGACTCTGACTGCTCTGGGCACAAAAAAGGGCAGAGAGGACAGTTAGGAATTGACTCTCGTGGTCCAGGGAAGAAATGCCAGTGGCTTGGATTAGGGTGGCAGTAGTGAAAGTAGCATCTAAGCCTCATCTAGCACGTACTGTGTACTGAAATCTATTCCAAGTACTTAAGTATTTATGAATACATTAAATCTGCCACCAACTCCATGAAGTAGGTTACATTTTGCTGAAGGAAAAACATACACAGGAGTTAAGTAACTTGCCCAAGATCATAGAGTTGAGAATTAAACCCAGGTTGTCTGACTCCGAAGTCCATGCCCTCAAACACCACGCTGGTCTGCCTCCTGCTCACTGTAGCCATTAGATTGGGGATATAGTTTGGAGGTAGAGCCAACAGGACTTGTTGATCTATGGGCTGTGAGGGTGGGGAAGTAGAGTGCTCTAGGTTTTGGCCTGAGCACCCACTTCTTTCTTGGGAGCTTTGGGAACTGGTCCACATCATGTGTCTGGTTAAGGGCAGGACTAAGAATAGAAAACCCAGAATCTCATGGCCCAGAGTCAGGGCTTTTTCTTCAGCAACATTCTGCCTCTACTTACATGCTTTATAAACTTTGTCAACAAATGGGTATATTATTTCATAAAGCATATGAGGTTAAATATCTTGAGAATAAGGTTCCTAAAAATGAGAGAAATACCTACTTAAGAACCCTAGCCCCTTGGCTCTTTCAGCAAGGGACTCTAGTAACTCCTTTCCCATTTGTATTCCCGGTAGCCAAACAAGGAGCTCCAGAAGAAGCTGTTTGACCGGATATCCAGAAACTACGCCAATCTTTTATTTAATGAGTCCAGATCCCACTACGAAGAGGCTCTCTTAAAAGTGAGCATCAACCACTGTTTAGAAAAAGAATCACATTAGATGTCTACTCACTCTAGTGCCAGTAGATGTCCTTTCCAAAGAATGACACCAGGAGAAGCTCCTTTCCAAAAAGGAGTACTTAGTAAGTTGTGATTTAGCTGTACACTGACGTGAAATGCAGCCGTTACCAAAAAATCAGGTAGATCTATACATACTGATTGGGAAAGATGTAATGATATCATTTGGATAAAAAAAGCCATTTATACAACTGTATGTTCATTCATCCATTCATTCATCTTTTGAAAAAACATAAAGACATAAATGTAAATGTATGTATGTGTCAGTGCCTATAAATAGAGAAAATCTGGGAAAAAATTTACCAAACTCTTAGCAATGGTTATCTCTGGGGAGATAGGCGGCCTCATAAGGGGGAAATTGCTTCCCTTTTGAACAGGAAGCAGCATGGTTTGGGTAAAGTTTGTCAGACAGAAAATCACTATTGAGTACTTACTGTGTGCAAGGCACCAACCTAGAAAGAACAAAGATTTTGGAGTTAGATCAATTTGAACTTGGGTTTTGAATCCCAAAAAACGGGATGGTAACTATTAAATAAGATAACATTTGTAAAGGGCCTGGCACATAGGAAACAAACAAACAAATGAAAAACCAAACCCATTGCTGTCAAGTCGATTCCAACTCATAGTGACCCTGTAGGGCAGAGTAGAACTGCCCCATGCAGCTGGTGGATTCAAACTGGCGACCTTTCGGTTAGCAGCCGAGCTCTTAACCACTGAGCCACCAGAGCTCCAGGCGCATAGTAGACTTCCAATAATTGTTAGTTTGGTTGTTATTTTATAAGAAAGAAGAATCTTATCACAGATCCTTTCTGAGGTCAGGGGCTCTTTTCCTGGATGTAGAAATGTCAAAAACCTTGATCGAGCTCTGCTTGTCTCCCAGAGGCTGCCAAGCCTCCTGAGTAAAGGCTTGTACACCAGCTTCTGCACCTGCTTCCCACAGTCCTGGTTCAACACGCATGAGTTCAAGACTGACATCTGTAATACAATGAGCCTGTGGATTTCAGGTGAGAGGTGACTTCTTTCTACTGGGGAAAGCAATTCTGGAAACACGTTTTCCAGCTGAGTCGGAGTATGTGATTTTCTTCATCAAGGCCATCTTCCTTTTCTCTCCTTTGCATTAAAGAAAATGCAATGTGTGGTAGAGCCCCAAAGGAGTACGAATTGTCCTACTTCTTCAAAATAATTCTGAGACATTTCTTCCTAGTCCCCCTTTTGCACCCAGAGACACCTGCAGGAGCCAGGTGTCCTCACCTAACAAGATCCTGACGTTGCAGCACAGCCTCCTTAGTTACCCGTCTGGTGGGGCTGATGGAACCAGAAGTCAGGACTTCAAAAACAGTATGCTGCTTAGATAACCCCACCCTTCCACTTCCATGTAACCCCAAGTGGCCCAACTGTAGTCACTCTGCTCTCCACCACTCCGTGCCAGCTTGAATTCGCTTTTACTACTACTTTTCAGTTCCCTTCCCCACTTCCCCCTTCTCAAGTTATTCCAAGCTATTATGAAATGAACAACCCAATTAAAAGGTGCACAAAAGATCTGGACAGATACCTCACCAAAGATGTACAGATGGCAAATAAGCAAATGTAAAGATGCTTAACGTCATATGTCATTAGGGAATTGCAAATTAAAACAACAATGAGATACCACCACACGCCTATTAGAATGGCTAAAATCTGAAACACTGACAACACCAAATGCTGGCAAGGATGTGGAGCAATAGGAACTCTCATTCATTGCTGGTGGAAATGCAAAGTGGTACAGCCACTTTGGAAGCCAATCTGGCAGTTTCTTACAAAGCTAAACAGGCTGACCGTACAATCCAGCAATCACACTCCGAGGTATTTACTCAGATGAGTTGAAAACTTAATGTCCACACAAAAACCTGCACATGAATGTTTATTGCAGCTCCATTCATAATGGCAAAAATTGGAAGCAACCAACATGTCCTTCAGTAAGTGAATGGATACACAAACTGTAATACATCTACAAGGGAGTAGTATTCAGAGATAAAAAGAAATGAGCTATCAAGCCATGAAAAGACAGGGAGGAACCTGAAATGTATACTGCTAAGTTAAAGAAGCCAGTCTGAAAAGACTACATATTACATGATTCCAACTATATGACATGGGATGTGGGGGAAGTGTGGTGGGGAGGGGAGAGGGATGAATAGGTAGAACACATGGAATTTTTAGGGCAGTGAAACTATCCGGTATGATTCTGTAAGGGTGCACACATGACATTATGCGTTTGTCAAAATCCATAGAATTGCACAACACAATGAGTGAACCCTAATGTAAACTAGATTTTAATTAATAATAATGTATTATTGGCTCATCAGTTGTAACAAGTGCACCACCCAATGCAAGATGTTAATCATAGGGGAAACTGGGCAACCGAAGAGGGAGTATTTGAGAACTTTCTGTACTTTCTGCTCAATTTTTTCTGTAAACCTAAAAGCGCTGTAAAAAGTAAAGTCTATTAATTTTTTTTAAAGCTTCACTTTGTTGAGAAGTTCCTGTTTACTAGGTACTGTGCTAAGTAAGTGCTTTTTACCTGTCCCATCATGTTAGCAGTCCCCAAGGCCACCCCCATGTTTCGAGAGTCCCTAGAAGGACTCACAGGACAGAGCACATAGTTGTACTCACGGCTAAGGTTTATTACCTCGATGTCATAAAGGCACACAGCCGGATCATAAGGAAGAAGACAAGTGGGATCTGCAGGAATCCATGTGCAGGGTTCCTATGCTCTCTTCCTCCCATAAGGAGTCAAACAGTGTACTCTTCCCCCAGTAACAAAAACCAGAAGCACGTTTCTGCCCAGGGAAGCCCATTAGAGATTCAGCGCCCAAGGTTTTTACTGGGGGCTGGTCACGTAAACACCCCCTGTCTAGCATAAACCCAAATTCCAGACTCCCGGAAGGAAAGCAGGTATTCAGCATAAACCACATCATTTGTACAAACAGTCTAGGCAGAGTGAGCCACTCTTACCAGTCAGGGAAAGTTTTATATCAGTGGAGGGAACTTCTTCCCAGCCAAGTTTCCAGACACCAGCAAAGGCCAACCTTGTAAGCAGGCGTTTCTCAAGAGAGCAGTCTCTGGCCTGCTGTTAACTCTTTTCTGCACATCCACTTAATCCTCTTAACATGCCTGCAGTGGAGGGAAGGGAAGGTTTGGAGGCTGAGGATCAAAGAAGCCCAATAGCAAACAAATGCTGGAGCAGGTATTAAATCCAGGGCAGTCTGACTCCAAAGGTAGGCCTGTGACCACTATGCAATCCTGCCTCCCATTCTCTCTTCTTTCTCCTCCTCCTCTTTGTCCAAGGCAGAGCCCACTTCCTCCAACTCATCCCCAATAATAAACTTCATGTCTGCTTACTTTGCCCAAGGGAGCCAGCAGCTTTGCACAGCTGCTCATGCTTTTCAAGGAAGCCTTGGTCTTTTCCTTCCTAAATAAAAGAACTGAAGGAGAAAGTAGTGAACCTCTAATGCCTGAGGGTCCAGATTCCAAGAAACCAGGACTTTGAAACACACAATTTCCTTAAAAGAAGAATATTAGCACCATCAGATGTTAGTGGGAACCTGTTTCAGGCACTTAGCTAAATGTGATAATACATTCAACAAACATTTACTAAGCACCTGTTTATTACCTACCATGTGCAATACCAAACCCTGGAGATACAAAGATGAAGAAGACCCAGCCCCTGCCCTCAGGGAGCTCAGAGTCTAGCAAGAACAGAGAAGGTAGATAGGAAAACAAATAATTACAGTGCCTTCACATTTGTATAGCACAGATAGGCAGGCAGGCATCATTATCCCCATTTTCCAGATGAAGACCCCAAAGCCCTCTAGAGAGGGAGGAAGTGTCTTTCCCAAGGCCACAAGGCCAGTGCAGGGTGGAGCTAATACTGAAGCCCAGCTTCTTTAGGACCAGCAGGGGGCATCTCAGAGGCCTCTGCTGTCTTCTGTCCTGAATTTACTGCCTCTGTTCTCTCTTGCTCAAGTTTTCACTATCATTCTTGACTCCCTCTTAGGTATATGTCCTTGCCCACAGAGCTATAACAACTGGGACTACTCGGAACTGGATCCAGAGAGATTCCGGAGAGAAGAATTAATATTACAGAGAAAAAGACTGATAAAGGGTAAGATACCAATATGGACCCCTGCCCCCTGCCACATCCAACCACCGTCTCATTGAGGCAGGGAAGGGCCTTGTAGATAAGTCCTCAGGCCAGGTTCTTTCTCACACACTCCAAACTAGCCAACCAAAGTGACTGAAATGTAAATGTTTATGAACTGTAGGTAGAGTCAGCGCAACATAATTGTTAGGATGTGGGGGATGGAATTTTGTAATAGTAGGTGCCAGGTATTGGGTGTCTACTCTGTGCTAGGCACCATGCTGGGCTTGTTATCCTTTCTATCTAATCCTAGGCAGCCAGCTGAAGAACGCACTCTTATTAAATCCACTTTACAGATGAGGAAACTAAAGTTCAGAGAAAATAAGCAACTTGCCCAAGGTAACTTGTTTATTTCACCCAACAAGCACACAGTGAGCGCCATGTGTCAGGCACTGTGCTGAACACCAGGAGGAAAGCACAGCCCTGCCTTGCAGACAGCACGATTATACTACAGTGGATTGGGCACTGTGACAGGGGACACAAGGTGCTGAGGCAGTCCAGGGAAAGCACCCAGTCCAGCCCTGAGAAGGTCAGGAAGTGACATTTAAGCCGAGTCTTAAAGAGTATGTGTTTTAGGCAGTGACAGGAAGGATGGCTTTTCCAGGCAGAGGGAACAGCATGTGAGATGGGTAACCAGCCCGCAGATGTCTGAGCTGAGATTCAATCTTGGGACTACAAAGCCAGAAAGACACACTTGTGGGCTAGACAGGTGTTTTCACCAGCTGGGGAATGTCTGCCCCTTTTTATGGGACACCTAGGGATGCAGCAAAGCCCTTGAATGGCCAATAATCTAGGACTCAGGAGGCAGACAGCATCTGACTAATGAAACCCTCTAGCGATATGCAGGACACTTGGGAGATGGGGGGTGGGAGTGAGGAGCTTCTTTTTTTCTTAAATATAGTGAAAGCAGCTCAAATTGTCAAAGAATGAGTCTGAACACATAGCTGTAATCTGGTTAGCAATAAAAATAATGCTAATGCATACTGTTTTTTGTCTCTGAGCCAGTCAGTGTTTGAGATCCTTTTATGTCCTGCATATCACTAGGGGGTTTCATTAGCCATATGCTATCTGCCCCATTTTACAGACGAGGAGGTGCAGAGAGTTTAACATGCCCAAGGCTGCCTGGCACAGTTTAGGAGCCAGGATTTTGCCCAGGCCAGCTAGTAAGCCTCATGCTTTTGTCAGTGTTTGGCCTCTCTGACCAGTTAAGCCATTCTTCTCCCTGAGTCTCATATCCTTGGGAATACTAAGGACAATCAGCAGGAAGGAAAGACGTCTTAAGAGGCAGCAATGCCTCATGTGGTAGGGGGAGCATCTTGTTTCTGGAAGGGCCCCAGCAGAGCTGCCAGCTTGCTGTCCAGAAGGGCCTGTGTTGGGTGGAAGGTTGAATGAGATGCCCCCCCAGGCCCCCTCTCTGGAGGGTAGGAATCTGTGTTGTGAGGCTAGCATGAGCAAGGGTTGGGAAATTGTGAAGGTAGATTATGAGGCCATAAGGGAAATGGAAGCTCATGGAAGTCTGAGCACAGAAGCAGAGACGGTCAGGCCCAGGGAAAGCTAGAGCTGAGGTAGGTTCCAGATTTAGCACAACTCTAAGCATGTAGCAGCCAGCATTTGCAGATATTCCATTTAGAATTAGCAAGTCAAAAGGAGGAGCCCGTCTCGGGGGAAAGGCCACAGGTTTAATTTAGACCTGACAAATTTGAGATGATGATATAACATCTTGGTGGAGACGTCCAACACGCCATTGGCAATGCTGTAGGAGAGAGGTCAGGGCTGGGAATCTCAATTGGGAATTTATTCAGATAGATACACTTGTTGAAATTCTCTCTAGATAAGAATATCAAAGAATCAGAGTCTTGAGGACCACCTATGTTTAGGAGGTGGGAGAAGAAAGAGGAACCAGAGAAGTGGGAGGAGTCCATAGAGCACAGGGCCGTGGCCCAGGGAGGCTTTAACAGAGTGATGGCCAGCAGTGCCAGCTGCTGTAAAGAGGACTTCGAAGCAAGGCCTAGAAAGAAGCCGTGGAATCTGGAAGTTAGGTCATTAGTTTTATACCTGCATGTGTGTGTATGTGTGTGTGTTTGTATACACGCACACAGAGCTTTAGCAAGACATAACTCACGTACCATAAAATTCACCCTTTAAACGTGTACAATTTAGTTTTTTTTTTTTTAGTATATTTACAAAGTTGTGTGGAGTCCCTAGGTGGCTCAGACAGCTAAGCGCTCGACTACTAGCCGAAAGGTTGGCAGTTCAGACCCACCCAGACTCTGACTCATAGTGACCCTGTAGGACAGGGTTTCCAAGGATGTAAATCTTTATGGAAGCAGACTGCCCCCTCTTTCTCTCATGGAGCTGCTGGTGGGTTCAAAACGCTGACCTTTTGGTTAGCAACCAAGTGCATAACCACTGCGCTACTAGGGCTCTTTCAACCCCTCCTAGGTACACGCAAACATAACTAGGAGAATGGGGGAGGGGCTGTGACTTCAGCAGCCCACCCCCCTTGAGGCCTCTCCCCTCTGTTAACTCCCTAGATGAGGAAGCAGGCTGCTGGCCTTCCCCTCTCTGCCCCCAGTGTGGCTGCCCTCTGCATGGTGAAGACTGTCTGCACCCTTGCTATTCAAAGTGTGGTCCACGGACCAGCAGCATCAGCCTCACCCCAGATCAGCTGAATCAGACTTTGCACTTTGCAGTTTGCCAAGATCCCTCAGTGGTCTGTATGCACATTCCAGCATGAAAAGCCCTGGTTGAGGGCACAAAAGAAGAGAAAACCTGGCAACTCTTGGGCAAGAGTATGGCTGCCCAAGAGTATTGCCTAGGAAGTATAATGCTGTGGTGGTGGTGGCTGGGGAGTCAATTCCAACTCATAGCGACTCTGTAGGACAGAGTAGAACTGCGCCATAGGGTTTCCAAGCCTGTAATCTTTATGGGAGCAGATCACCAGGTCTTTTCTCTCATGAAGCTGCTGGTGGGTTCAAATCACCAAGCTTTCAGTTAGCAGCCAATCGCTTAACCACTGTGCCACCGGGGCTCCTTAGGGAGCATAATAGCTGCCCCTTACTCAGGACCAGACACTGTAGACTTTTATATGCTGCTTTTCTAAGTGTGTGCCTTTATTGACTCACTTACTAGGTGTGCTGTCCCAGTAGTCACCATGTACACTGAGTGAAAACAGTCTAACCTGTGAATTATTTTCAAATGTAGTGACATTGTAATGAATATTAACTGTAATGCCTTTTGAGGTTGGTTGATTGTTACTTTTATAGCATTTTACCTAATGTTTATTCATTTCAGTTTTGCGGGTTTTGAGTTTTTGTTTTTTAAGCCAATACTTTTTTTTTTCATGTAGGTTGAGTGTGTGCCCTGTGCTGGGGCCCTGCTTACATTATGTCCTTGTCTGCTAACCAGAAAGTCCGCAGTTCGAATCTACTAGATGCTCCTTGGAGCATTTCTACTCTGTTCTGTAGGGTTGCTATGAGTCAGAATCTACTCGACGGCAACGGGTTTGGTTTGGTTTTTTCAGCCCTGTGAGGTAGCAAGTATTCAGCCCCCTTTAACAGGAGTGTGAGACTGGATCAGAGAGGTCAGCTCACTTGTCCAACGTCACACAGCAGGTGGAGTGGAGATGGAGGCCATGGTGTGCCTGAGGCTGGTCTTCCACTGCTCTTGCTGTCACTGGCGTCACCCTGCATGGTGGGGGGTGGGGTGGGGGGTGGGGAAGGCTGTCTCCATAATGGAAGGTTTCTCTGGGAAAGCTCCTGGTCTATAGTCGTTGTCACCCCCACACTGAGAAGGAACTGAAGAACAACATTTTCTCTTCCCTAGGAAGAGAGTTTTCTCTGTTCATTCATAAGAAACTCTCCACCCCGAAGACAATCTGTGCCAAGAAATTCTGCCACACTCAGGTAAGTGAGGAGGTGCAAACCCAGACCCCTTGGAGCCCCATGAACTCCAGAAATCCTGGGGTCTTCTGGAACATCAGTATCTTACCCGCCCTGCTCAGTGCGGCCCTGGCAGTGCTCCACTGTGCAGTGGATGAGGGAGCGCTAAGGGGCAACGGGCAGAAATGCCCCAACAAGAGGAGAGAGGAGAGAAGCCAGCCTTTCAGTGTAGGCTGCAGTGCAAGGTGCTTTTATTATGTTTTTTTCTCAGTTAATCCTCACTGTAAGCCTGAACCCTGGGAGGCACCCCTGACACCTACCTCCTCCTCTGCCTTATTGTTACCTTCTGCCTACCTCCCATACCCATCACGTCTCTCCATTCCACTCCCACCTGCCTGGTCTGAGCTCCTGTAACTACTGCAGTAGGCTCGCTGGTCTCCCCCTTCCTCTCTGGGACTCCTCCAGTCTTTTCAAAAAGCAAATCGAATCACACCATCCCATCCCCACCTGACCCTACCCTACTCCCTCCACCCTCAGCACTCCCTTCTCCAAATTAAAAATACCTTCCAGACTCAGAAGGCTCCCTGCTGCCTGGAGGACAGACTGACCTGCGAGGCCTTGCCTTATCTGGCCTGGCCCAGTGCCCGCGCCCTGGCTGTCTGGGCTCCGGCCACAGAGGCTATCCTCCTTTCAGTTCCTTGCATGCTCCACATCCCCTCCCCATACATGGCTTTCGTGCCTGCTCCTCTTGCCCCAGGTAAGCTCCCCTCACCGCTGCTGTCATCAATGTCAGAGGCTCTTTCCAATTCCAGGTTCAGAGAGGTCACACTGATAGCTTGATATCAGCCACACACTACAAATCACGACTTGTTTTTTCCGGAAAGCAGGAAAACATAAATGAGTGGGGTTTGGCAAAAAAAACCTGTCACCTCTCCTGGCTTGGGCTCACCGGGTGAAGAGTGCCTGATTCCTACCCCTCACCCCCGACGCCTCCCCCCGCCCCCAGCATCACAGTTCCCCAGGATGACAGCGGTCACCTTCCACCTGGGCTCCTGTCTTTGCCTCTTACTCCTCTGTCCCATCTCCACACAGCAGCCAGACTGATCTTTTAACATACACCAGATGAGGCCATTCACTACTTAAAACTCTTAGTACCATGGTTATGGGGGTGGGGAGGGAGGGTGAGGGTTATTCACTAACTAGATAGTAGATAAGAATGATCTTAGGTGAAGGGAAGGACAGCACACACTACAGAGGAAGCCCGCGCAACTGGACTAAACCAAAGCGAAGAAGTTTCCTCAATACAATCAAATACTTTGAGAGACAGAGTAGCAGGGATGCAGGGTCTGGGGACCATGCTTTCAGGGGACATCTATGTTAATTGGCATAACAAACCTTATTAAGAAAATGTTCTGCATCCTACTTTGGTGAGTGGCGTCTGGGGTCTTAAAAGCTTGCAAGTGGCCATCTAAGATCATTAATTGGTCCCAACCACTTGGAGTAAAGGAGAATGAAGAACACCAAACACACAAGGAAAGTATTGGCCCAGGAGAAAGAATGGGCTGCATAAACCAGAGACTTCATCAGCCTGAGACCAGAAGAGCTAGATGGGGCCCGGCTACCACCAATGAACGTCCTGACAGGGAACACAACAGAGAGTCCCTGATGGAGCAGTAGAACGATGGGATGCAGAACTCAAATTCTCAGATTTAATGGTCTGATTGAGACTGGAGGCGCCCTGGAAAGCATGGCCCCTGGTCTCTCCATCACCCCAGAACTAAAACGATTTCTGAGGCCAAGTCTTCAGACAGGGATTGGACTGGACTGTGGGACATAAAGTGATACTTGTGAAGAATGTGCCTCTTAGACAAGTAGATATAAGAGACCAAAGGGGTGGCTTCTGTCCAGAGGTGAGAGGGGAAGGCAGAGAAGAGTTAGGAGCTGGTTGAATATTCATGGGGAATCAGGGGCGGAGGGGAGGAGTGTGTTGTCGCGGAATGGGGTAAGCGGTTGGGGTCTCATAACGATGTATGTTAAAAAAAAAAATTCTGTATGGGAGACTAACTTGAAATGTAAACTTCATTTAATTACCAAAAAAAAAAAAAAAAAAAAACTCTTGGTACCTTCTGCAGGGCACTGGGAATGAACCCAGACTCCCTAACCTGATTTGAAATGGCCCGCAGTCCTGCCAGCACCTCTCTCCAACGGCCTCGCATCCACTCTCTGCCTTGGTGCCAGACATCAGCCCACTGGCCTTCCTTCTGCCTCTTGGACACGCCACACTTGTGCCCCAATGGGCCTCTGCCCTGGCTGTTGCCTTTCCCTGGAGTGTGCGCTCCTCAGAATGCCTGAGGGAATGGCTGGCTCTTTCTTGCCCTTCAGATCCCAGTTTCACTATTCTCGCTTTAGAGAGGCCGTCCCTGACTCCCCAGCCACTCTCTATCATGCCACCTATTTTAATTCTTCTGTAGTGCTTATCATCCCTGGGTGGTGCAAACAGTTAATGAGCTTGGCTGCCAGCCAGAAGATTGGAGGTTTGAGTCTACCAAGAGGCGCCTCGGAAGAAAGGCCTGGTGATCTGCTTCTGAAAAATCAGCCATTGGAAACCCTGTGGAGCACAGTTCTACTCTGACACACATGGGGTTGCCATGAGTCGGAGTCGACTCCATAGCAACTGGTTTTATTTTACAGTGCTTGTCAGGATCTGCTATTGTTGGTGTGGGATTGATGTCTCTATTGTTCAGTGTCTGTCTCCCTCTATGAGAATGCAAACTCAGTGAGAACAGGACCTCTTTTTCTTTCTTCACGGCTCTGTCTCCAGCAGCTAGAACCGACCCAGCACATAGAAGGCACTCAGCAAACTTTTCCTGTCTTCATAAATGAGATAGTCTGTGTAAATCCTTAGCCCTGCACTCAGCATGGAGCGGCGCTCTGTAAATGTCAGCCTCTCAAAAGTACCGACACAGCTGGCATTGCAGAAAGATAGCTGTTGCTCAGAGATGAAGATGAAAATACTGTTCAGTGTTTTTTGCACTTCCTGTTACAGTTGCCCGAAACAAATGTATTTTCTTTCTACTGAAATACATAAAATCTTCTGACAGTTACCTCAGAGGCCCCACTAAGAGATGCCATTTTCTGTCTCATAAATAGAAATAATCTAAAACTCTGGAAGCTGGAAAGCGGCTGAGGTTTTCATGGGCAAACCAGGACGGAGGGTGTAATGGAATTCTGTGGAGAGCACAGGGCCTCTTGTCAGTAGCAGACGCATTTCCTCAGCTGCTCAGTGAAACCTTTGGCTGTCTTCAAAATAGACTTTTTCAATGGCAACAGTCTGTGAGAGTCTACAATTCATGGAAATGAGTTGCAGTTACTGCCTCTGACCCGTCTGTCTGCCCTTCTCTTGTTTAAGTGCTTGGAGTTTCACACAGTGGGAATGAAAAAGTAACGGTATATCTGGCTTCTGCTGTGAGGCCTGGATATAAACTAGGGCCCCTACCTGTTTTTTTTTTTTTATTGTACTTTAGATGGTTTACAGAGCAAACTAGTTTCTCATTAAACAGTTAATACACATATTGTTTTGTGACATTGTTAGCCAACCCCGCGACATGTCAGCACTCTCCCCTTCTCAATCTTGGGTTCCCCATTACCAGCTTTCCTGTCCCCTCCTGCGTTCTGGTCCTTGCCCCTGGGCTGGTGTGCTCATTTAGTCTTGTTTAGTTTTATGGGCCTGTCTAATCTTTGGCTGAAGATGAACCTCAGGAGTGACTTCATTACTGAGCTATGAGGGTGTCTGGGGTCCATATTCTCGGGGGTTCTTCAGTCTGTGTCAGTAAGTCTGTTTTTTTTGTAAGTTAGAATTTCATTCTGCAATTTTCTCCAGCTCTGTCTGGGATCCTCTGTTGTGATCCCTGTCAGAGCAGTTGGCGTTGGTAGCTGGGTACCATCTAGTTGTGCTGAATTCAGTCTGGTGGAGGCTGTAGTCATTGTAGTCCATTAGTCCTTTGGACTAATCTTTCCCTGGGTCTGGTTTTCTTCTCTCCCTTGCTCCAGATGGGATGAGACCAGTGGAGTATCTTAGATGGCTTTTAAGACCCCGGACGCTACTCACCAAAGTGGAATATAGAACATTTTCTTTATAAACTATACTATGCTAATTGAGCTAGATGTTCCCCGAGACCATGGTCCCCACAGCCCTCAGCCCAATAATTTGGTCCCTCAGGAGTTTGGATGTGTCTCTGGAGCTTCCATGACCCTTCCTTGTACAAGTCGTGCTGGCTTCCCCAGTATTGTGTATTGTCTTACCCTTCACCAAAGTTACCACTTAACTATTGTTTATTTAGTATTTTTCCCTCCCATTCCCCCTGCCATAACCATCAAAGATTGTTTCTTTTTGTGTGTAAACCTTTTCATGAGTTTTTATAGTAGTGGTCTCATACAATAGTTGTCCTTTTGTGGTTGACTTATTTCACTCAACATACTGCCCTCCAGATTCATCCGTGTTGTGAGATGCTTCGCAGATTCATCATTGTTCTTTATCGTTGCATAGTATTCCGTTGTGTGTATGTACCGTAGTTTGTTTATCCATTCATCTGTTGGTGGGCATCTAGGTTGCTTCCATCTTTTTGCTATTGTAAACAATGCTGCAGTGAACGTGGGTGTGCAGATGTCTATTTGCATGACGGCTCTTATTTCTCTAGAATATATTCCTAGGAGTGGGACTAGTTCTAGCTTTTTAAGGAAGCGCCATATCATTTTCCAAAATGGTTGTACCATTCTGCATTCCCACCAGCAGTGCGTATGAGTTCCAATCTCCCTGCAGCCTCTCCAACATTTATTTTCTGTTTTTTGTTTTCATTTGTGCCAGTAATGTCAAGGTGAGATAGTATCTCATTGTGATTTTGATTTGCATTTCTCTAATGGCTAGTGATCGTGAGCATTTCCTCATGTATCTGTTAGCTGCTTGAATGTCTTCTTTGGTTAAGTCTCTGTTCGTATCCTTTGCCCATTTTTAAATTGGATTATTTGTCTTTTTGTTGTAGAGGTGTTGGATTTTCCTGTAGATTTTAGAGATTAGACCTTGGTCAGATTTGTCATAGCCAAAATTTTTTTCCCAGTCTGTTGTTTTTGTTGTTATTAGGTGCCATCGAGTCGGTTCCGACTCATAGTAACCTATGCACAACAGAACAAAACACTGCCTGGTCCTGCACCATCCTCACAATTGTTGCTGTGCTTGAGCCCATTGTTGCAGCCCCTGTGTCAATCCATCTCATTGAGGGTCTTCCTCGTTTTCACTGACCCTGTACTTTACCAAGCATGATGTCCTTCTCCAGGGACTGATCTCTCCTGATAACATGTCCAAAGTATGTGAGACGAGTCTCGCCATCCTTGCTTCTAAGGAGCATTCTTGTTGTACTTCTTCCAAGACAGATTTGTTTGTTTTTTTTGGCAGTCCATGGTATGTTCAATATTCTTTGCCAGCACCACAATTCAAAGGTGTCAATTCTTCTTTGGTCTTCCTTATTCATTGTCCAGCTTTCGCATGCATATGACGCAATTGAAAACACCATGGTTTGGGTCAGGCGCACCTTAGTCCTCAAGGTGACATCTTTGCTTTTCAGCACTTTAAAGAGGTCTTTTGCAGCCGATTTGCCCAGTGCAAGGCGTCCCAGTCTGTAGGTTCTCTTTTTACCCTTTTGGTGAAGTCTTTTGATAAGCTTAAGTGTTTAATTTTTAGAAGATCCCAGTTATCTAGGTTGT